ATATATATATATATATATATATATATATATATATATATATATATATATATATATATATATATATATATATATATAAAAGTTGAATTTAAATATACAAAGATGAAGTATGAAAATATGCAGGCATAAGAAGCAATCCTTTTACAGAATAATCCTTTCTTACTGCCTTATGGATTTTAGAGCTATCTGTATAATGAATATTGTAATAGTGTAATTGTTAATGTACAGATAGACCTCAACTTAGGACCACAGTTGATCCAAAAATTTCCATTGCTAACCAAGGTAGTTGTTAAGTGAGGTTTTGCCCCTTTTTACGACCTTTCTTGCCACAGTTGTTAAGGGAATCACTGCAGTCGTTAAGTGACTCATGCAGTCATTAAAGCAAATCTGGCTTCCCCATTGACTTTGCTTGTCAGAAGGTCGCAAAAGGGGATCACGTGACCTTGGGACGCAACAACGGTCATAAATATGAACCAGTTGCCAAGCATCTGAATTTTGATTCAAATGGCCATGGGGGCACTGCAATGATTGTAAGTGTGAAAAATGGCCACTTGCTGTAACTTTGAATGGTCACTAAATGAATGGCTGTATGTCCAGGACTAGCTGTACTCGCTTTATAGAGAGCGAGCTGTGGTTTGAATGAGGCCAGAAAGTTTTTTAATTAATATTTTTTCTTCCTTGAATTTGTTAGATTTCTCCATGAAATTTATTATTGTTACTATGAAGTCTGTCCGTGCATTGTTTTATTGTTTTTCTAATCATTCATAATTGAGTATTATCAATTAGCACTCCCATTAACCATAGCTCTGAAGATATTATAAGTCACAATAAGTAGTGACTCAGTTGAAGGGGCATTCCTGCCTCTGCCAAAATAGCCGGTGATCTTTTGCATTTAGCTTTCAACTCGAGTAGACAGTTGGAAATAGTCAGGAGCACTCAATGTAATATGGAAAAATATTCTTAGAAAGTAGAAAGTGGAGAAGAAATTGCCCCCATTTAGGACTAGTGCAGGGGTAGGCAACCTTGGCTCTTTTATGACTCATGGGCTTCAACTCCCAGAATTCCTGAGCCAGCCATGCTGGCTCAGGAATTCTGGGAGTTGAAGCCCATGAGTCATAAAAGAGCCAAGGTTGCCTACCCCTGGCCTAGTGGATAAGTCTAAAGACAATGGTGGCTATTTAAGCTACTATTTGCCTATGTTCTGTCCATATCTTTTATATTAACAATAATACAAAACATCACCAAGAATTGAGTACCTCTCTTCAAAAAAATGAAACCAGACTTAAGTGAATACTGCCTCCCTAAATTTCCATAAAAATGAGGCAAGTAGAAATATTGTGACATAAATGACACTCTGTATTTCTAATGCATTCTTATCAGGATTCACTTACCTTACAATGGACCTGGATTTGAAATAGAGCATTTTCTCAACTATATTAAAGTGGATAGTAAGATGGGCTTAACCCTAATGTGGAATAAAGACGACAGTGTAATGGTAAGTATATGATGACATAAAGAACTGATAAATGTGAGCTGTAACAAAATGCGGATGGATGGAATGGTCTTGTTTCAGATGCCAACTTCTTTCAAGATACTCTGTTCCATTCTCAGTTTTTTGTTTTTGCGAGGTCGTGTGAAGGACTTAAGACACTAAAGACTAGTAAGAGTTAAAATCTCGAGTGAAGGTTGTATTTCTCTGTTAACTTCAATTCGATAGAAACACGAACTAAGTCTCCAGGACTATTGTCGTGATCAACGAATAACCCCGTTCCGAAACGAATACCTGTGTATTTATTCCGGTGTGTACTGAACGTTGGTGTATGTTCCCAGATCATCCCTCTCAATACAGATATAATCATTAAAATTCAAAAGTCAGGTTTACTTGCAAGGGGACCATCTCAGAAGTGGCAGTTACATACTGAAATGTTCTCCCTCAGTGCTTGAGGGAGCCTCATTTCATCATCCAAAATGGGTAATAATGAAAAGAGATGGCTAAGCTGGAATCATAACTCTACATCTAAGTTCAAGTTTAATATATCAAGCAAAGAGATGGGTCAAATTAAGCATTAATCAATTGGCCAACCAGGGTAATATAACAATTAAATAGGGGACTTTACTGAAATTGGGGAGTCCCAGGTTTAATCTCCACTGAAACATGGCTGGGTAATAATTCTCTCTCTGATCAATCTATCTTATAAATTGTTGTTATGAGATAAGCCTAAGGAATGATCCTCTGTATAACAGCTTGAGTTCTCAGAGAAAAAGTAGGATATAATAAATGCAATAAAATAAGACAATGAGTAGAAATGCAAATACCAAAGTAATATTTGTTCCTCCTTTAAACTTCTCAGACTAGCTATAAAGACAAGGAATGTTCTTTTTAACATTAACGTCCTTAAATATCTTATTTAAAAACCCTTTGTTACAGAAGTAAGCTACCAAGTATGTTTCCATACTTGACATTTGATTTTGGTTTTTAAAGATGAAAGCATATTTGGATTATATACAGTTAGTTGCCAAGCATCGAAATTTTGATTATGTGACTATGGGGATACTACAACGGTCATAAGTATGTAAAATGGTCATAATCACTTTTTTCAGTGCCATTGTAATTTTGAAAGGTCACTAAATGCACTGTTGTAAGTCGAGGACTACCTGTACATGTTATCAACTTTCTCATATGTAATTTCAGCTGGAACTTGATAGAAAATATGCCAATCACACCTGTGGACTTTGTGGAGATTTTAACGGCATTCCAAAGTACAAAGAATTTTATTTCGAGAGTAAGTATTAAAAAAGGGGCTTAATGAATTTAATTATTACAGTGTAATAATTAAATTACACTGTAATTTAATGAGTGCTACAGAAACATACTGTAATTTTTCATAATCCTGACTTTTCAATATGTTGGAATAGCAGAAAAAACTGGTTTTTTTTCTGAATATTTTGATTTTTGTATTAACTACCAGGTAATTTTGCATCATACCTGTCATTCTTCAGTTTTAACATCTTTAGATGTTGGATGAATATTAGGTTCTATATTCACCAAAACAAAGTTCTCAAACTTTAAGTGTTCTCAAGCTTAGTACTTTAGTCTCTTTGTTCTCTAACTTAAGAATATTGAATCATTTGTGATTTTAAAATGAATGTGTAGATATTTTATTATATTAAGTTTGTAAGAAAAGAATGTATGACATTTGAAACTAAAAAAATGTTTTTTCCTCTTTAACACAATATCAGGGTCATAAATTGTACTGAAAAGTTAAAAAACAACAATAATAAAAACTTTCCTGTAGAATCCAGTGGCAAAATACTTTCATAGTGTTGTCAAGAATAGGGGTCCCCAACCTATGGGTCGCAGCCCGGTCCTGGGCCACGGGCTCTTGGTCAGCGGGCCGCAGAAACGGCTGGCTGGTGCACACATGCATGGGCGCACATTTCCCCCACTTGCACTAGCATCAGCGGCCCCATTTGCACATGTGTGCAGGCATGCGTGAATGGGGCTGCTAGTGCTGCGCCACTGCACATGGCCCCATTTGCGTGCGCATGCAAGCACCAATTTGAAAACTGTTCTCCTTCCCTCCGGACTGCGAGCCTGGAAAGGTTGGAGATCTCTGGTCAAGAATATCTGTATGGCATCTATATAATTGCCAGGAATTAACCTTAACTCAAGAGTGTCTTTTCATTTTTCCCATCTCCTTATTAAATCACCTCATATTTTATGCAGAGACAGATTCTGAGATGTCTACATCAATATAATTTCATATGAAAAACATATATTCTCTCTCATGTATGAAAGTTGAGGTGCTACAAACAGGAAAGAGCTTTTTAATGTATTGGGGATTGGATTTAGATTAATTGGGCTACTCTGCTTTTCTGGAAACCACACAGACTTTTAGATCTCTGTCAGTTTTCATAGCTAATTTGACATGGCTTTCCTGAAAGGGAATCTTAGCCAGAGGTACCATTAGCATGCAAATCTCTATTATGACTTTATTTTTCAAAGATACCCCCATAACAGACTTCCAGTTTGGGAATCAATGGAAGCTGAATGATCCAACAGAAGATTGTGAGGATCCCATACCTCCTTCTCAGAAGAACTGCATTGATGAATATGTGAGAATTTTCTTTCTTGTCTGATTTGCATAAGGATTCTATAATCTTGAGTTTAAAATGTATTAGTTGCCATTTCACTGAAAATAATTGATTCTCGCTCAATCCACTCCACAGCTATATTATAATATTTTGTGTGATGGAAGGTAGTGAGGAAGTGAAATTTCAGGAAGGAGGGGATGAATTCCAGAAGAATAGGAAGCAAACTCAGTCCAGATGTTATGTATGAGAAGAGAGTGAAGACAGCCCCACCTTAATACTTCACAGACTATATTGTAGATGCAGATAGCAGAGTGCTCAGTCTGGCAAGATTTTTCCTATGTGTGAAACAATAAAGAACTCAGCTTGGAAGAATTACCACGTATCAATCTTGGTTTGGGGTCTGACATCTTAGGTTGGAATCTAACTTTGGAGAAAGGGCTTATGTTACTGTGTAAAATATAGTGATCTAATCTATGATATAAGCATGAAAAATGAGGGGCTTTTTTTTAAAGGGAAGGGCCCCATTTTAGAAGGAAATCGTTTCATAACATCTTTTGCCTTTTGTTTTTCCACCTAGGATATTTGTCGGGAAACACTGACTGGTTCTGCATTTTCTGAATGTAATGATATTGTGGGGGTGAAAAGCTACATTGATGCTTGTGTACATGACCTGTGTCTCTGTGATGAAGTTGAAAAATCCTCCTGTCTCTGTGACACTTTCTCTGAATATTCTCGACAATGTGCTCATGCCGGTGGCCGACCTCAACAGTGGAGAAGCGCAGAACTATGCCGTAAGTGTAAATTTCTGCCAAACAGTGACAAAAGTGATTTGAGTGTAATCTCTCCCCCTAGACTTCATTAGGATTTTTTATTCAGATTCACTTTTTAGTTGAAAATATGGAAATTAAAATGTGCTGCCAAAACAAGAAACTGTAAAATTAGAAGGTTGAAAAAATATGAGTGCAATAGAAAACAATAAATAAACATTACATTATAAATAAAATATTACATTTCACAGATCTCTGTACTGGTTATAGATTTATGAACAGCTTGAAGGATCAGAGATCAGACAGCTTGAAGGCAAGTCTTACCTTCTCAGACAATAGACAGCTCAAAGGAATTGGGAAAGTCACAAAGACTACAAACTTAATCATTCTTCAAATACTAAAACAAATTAGCACTATTCTTTAAGCAATGACACGAAGAAAGCAACTGGATGAACAACTGGATATGTGCTTGTGTGTGGCAAGCTCTGTTTTTCTGCTCACATATTCAGCTAAGATGAGAAACAGCTGAACTGGGTTATAAATCACTGAGGAATCATGTTCTTGATTATATTGTTTCTGCTTTCAAGAAGTTTGAGCAATGAAGCATCAAAGGAAAAGGAGAGAAAATCTCAGAACAGATATCTTTTCTCTGTGTGTGTGTGTGTGTGTGTGTCCATCAAAAAATAATAATGATGTATATAAATTATAAAATATTTGGCTAGATGGCAAGCATTCATAGACTAGAAATAAAGAACATGAAAACAAGAAACAGGATGTGCTGTGTAGCCACTTTAATTTAAAAATGATTTCTGGAAAGATAATGGATTTCATTCAAAGCAATTAATTATAAATGGCAGTTGCTACTTGGGATTGCATCCTGTATTAGTGCAAGGTATACTTGAGGGACACCTCTGGAGATTATCCAAATGCTGATAGTTTAAAATGTAGTGGCCCACTTGTTACCTGGCACATGTCCCCAGGAAGCATTATACCTGTGCTGTGACCCCTGCATTGGCTTCAAGTAGGCTTCCAAGTGCAAATTAAAATGCTAATTTTGCTGTATTAAGACTTATATTCTTGGCACCTAGATATTCTTAGTACTGCATTCTTCAACCTGGATTGATTGTACCAAGAGAAACTATACTGGTTCTCCCCGTAAAGTAAGGAGAACTGAAGCACTGAGGTGCTACTTTTACATGGTAGCATGCAATCTCAAACAGTCTTCTGGCAGAGATCAGGCCAAATCCCTGTTTTCAAATGATGCTGAAAACCAAGCTTTTCCACAGAGCTTTTTTAGTATGAGCGACCGCTATATGGATTTTTGTTGTTTGTTGGTTTTAATGTTGATTTTCATTGGGATATTATGATGATGTTGATTATTAAGATGCAATTGTCCTGCTATCTTTGTTAATTGCTGAGAGTTCTTTAAACTTATGGCATGTTGCAAGTCTAATGAATGACATGATATATGGTATATTACCTATGATGATTCTCTGTCAGGCTTTTTTATGCACAATATGCTGTATGGAGAACTGACCTGGTCTTACTGTTCTTATTTCAGCAATAACATGCCATTTGGGTATGCAGTATCAAGAATGTGGATCACCTTGTGCAAATACTTGTACTAATTCTGAAATATCTCATGTCTGTGAAGATCACTGCATAGATGGCTGCTTTTGTCCACCTGGTAAGCTGCCATCTTCAGCTTAAATCATTCTGTTACCGAGAGGGCAGGGGAATGAGAGAATATAGTGCTATGTATACTGTACTAGTGTGCCATAAACACAATAATAAAATAGTATTGTCTAGTATATATACTCTCTTCAATACTTTCTGAACAAAATTTGATATAGAAGAATTTCAACAAAATGAAACTGTTCTGGCACATATTGAAGATCCATTATAATTTATTTTTCCCCATAGGAACTGTTTTTGATGACATCAATGGCAAAAACTGCATCCCCTTTGATCAATGTTCCTGCATTTACAACGGAGAATCCTATGCTCCGGGGATGACATATTCAGCTCCGTGCCGTTCCTGGTAATTAATATCTTTTGCTAAATTCAATTAATGTTTTGTGCAGGAATCTAGCTTTCATCTGTGATGTCAATATTTTTTATTTGTACTTCCTGATTTTAGGCTCTGATCTAAAGTCCATACTTCCATTTATCCTCTCAGATTGCATATATTACATCTGGCTATTAATCTGTCCTTTAGACTCATTCAAAAGGAAGATTCTGACGGATTTTTAAAACTAGCTGAGTAACTAAAGAACAGCAGTTAACTAAAGAACATACTGTTAAGAGTATGTTCTTTAAGAGAAAGAAGAAAATAGAATGCTACCTTTTGCAGGTCATCTAATTCAGTACTGTTCACTATGACTGACAAAAGCTTTACAAGATAAGAGACAAAGGCTTTTGCATAGTTGCAGCTATTACCTCTTCCAAATGTACAGTGGAAGACAACACATCTTTTTTATTGGCTGATAAACATTCAGAAATCTCAAAAAGTATTGCAAAATATTGCTCAATCATGGTTGCAATAAGGATATATTGGGCATAATTAAGCACTGTCATATCTTTCCATGCTGGAAGATAATAAGCTATATATTTTTCCCTTTAATATTTTAGTGCACAGTTTCATATTGATGTTTGATACTACATTTGGTTTGGCAGCATAAATAAATAAATCTATGGGGGCCTGGGCAGGAGTGGGACAGATCTGAGGGTCTCTGGCAGAAGGGGGTGGGACCAGGGCAAGTGCCAAGGAATGGTCCACCGGGGCAAGTGCCAAGATGGCCACCACAAAATTGTACATTGGCTCCCAGCCGGCCTGGGCCAGGGCCAAGGCAGCAGGGGCTGTTCCCTCACTGTTTCCAGGATGGCTTCACAGGCCACATGAAACCACTTTGCGGGCCGCATCTGGGCCCCAGGCCTTGTGTTTGACATGTCTGATATAGTAGATCATGCCTACCCTAGATGATGATGATGATGGAGGCAGGTTGTTCCACTGATTAATTGTTCTGTCAGGAAATTTCTCCTTAGTTCTTTTGAATTACAAGATAACATTGATTGACTCAATCAAACAAAGTGTCTATATTTATGTATTCAAAGTGGAGGTTTAACTGATACTATAGCAAAATAATACAAGTTAAGTAAAGTACTTTTTCTTCAAAGTTACATCCCTAACTTTAGATTCTCTTTCCTCCAGTGTCTGCAGTGGTGGTGAGTGGAATTGCACAGAACTTCCTTGTCCTGGTATTTGCTCAATAGAAGGAGGATCACATATCTCCACCTATGACGAAGTGTGGTATAATTTCCATGGAAAGTGTAATTATATTTTCACCAAGGCAAGTCATCTTTCATATTAGCAGAAATGTCTTTGTCCCATACATAGGTACATACTTAAACTTGAGCTTCTATTTCTGGAATTATAAAATCCCAGATGTTCCTGATGTTAATCCATTGCTATAAATATTATATCACATGGTTTATCCAGTTTCTATTTCTAGATTTTATTTATATCTTGCATCTTTCCCTATAAAATGGTAGAGTTTGTTTTTTTTTACATTTGTACGTTAAAAAGAGGAACTCGGGTGATGGAGAAGAACTTTACCAAGCCAAGAAATGTAAATGATAACCATTTTAATCTGATTAAATCAATTATTATATTAGTGTGGTCTAAAAAGCAGTTAGAACTCTGTATGCTGCTCAATAAAGTGGTTTGATAATGAAAACAAAATTAAGGTAGCTAGGAAGAGACTGAACAATTCGAAAAATGCCCTAAATTAATCTGGCTCTTCACTTCTCCATTCTAATAAGATTGGTTCGATGTTTAATATTATGAAAAAGAAAATAAATGAGAATTTCCTGTTTTTCCAACCAAACTGGGCTCATATTATTCCCTTTCTTTGCAAAGTCAACCAAATTACTTTACACGACTAACATTACTTCTATAGAAGTTATCCCAAAATATTTTTAAAGTAGCGTCCTTGAAATCTGTCTGTGGTGTCAATATCTTTTTCCTGGTCTCTCTCCTCCAGATTTGTGATGAAGAAACCTTTACTGTTCTTGGAGATCTTGGGCCATGTGGCTTCACAGAGTCTGAGAGCTGCTTAAAAATGGTGGCTCTTACCATCAATGGAGGAGAAACTGTAAGAACCGCAATGAGTCCAAATGGCCCAGGTGCCATTCAGTTCATAATCTACATGTAATCATTGGGCTTGCCTAGCAGCCTAAAAAATACCTTTTGCTGACAAAATAATGTCATGTCTAATAAGCAGAATTTACTTCTTTTTCTATATTTAAGCAAGAATTTTATTGCTAGAAGTAAAATGGGGGAGCTGTAGAGCTTTGGTATACAGCAGTTTAATTTCCTTTTCCTCTTAAGTAACAGTTCAGTTAAATTCCTATCGACAACTAAACCAAATTAAAGTAAATAATTTATTTAAATATGAATTGATGAGAGGTCAAAATTTTATTTAGCACTTGTAATGTCTGTCCCTTCTTACCTTTCCTTCTGCTGTCTTTCCCTCCCATTCCCATATAATTCATTTATATTTACAAACATATTCATATTTATATGCATATGAATAAAATTAATATGTAGCTATTAATGTACTCGTGAGGAAAAACAAAATAAAACACTGTGAGAAATTGGACATTGCTCAATCCTGCTCACACACCATTCTCCTTCAAGAAAGAAGGAAATCGACTTTCAATCATTTCTGCGGCTCTCTGAAAACCTACCTAGAGAATTGAAAGATACTTCAGAAGAGCATAGAAAATATCACAGTAGATTACCAAAAGTATTGTTCATGTGAGGATGAATTTGCATCTGATAGGATGGATGGTAGCTGTTTTATAAATCCTGCCCTATATGCCTTTCCAAAAGCCATAGGCTGTATCTTCTCTCTATTGTAATGAAAGGATAAGAGAGAGTTAGATATTCAAAGATAGTGCTTTGAATTACACACACACACACACACACACACACACACACACAGAGAGAGAGAGAGAGAGAGAGAGAGAGAGAGAGAGAGAGAGAAACACCCACACCCACACCCATGGTTAACATAGCTCAGAGAGACTTGTTTCTTTAGATGTTCATCTCCAGATTAGTTTGTTGTTACAGAGTTTTGACATCTTTTACCCTTTCTGTGTATGAGTGCCTATCCACACAAAGGGTGGGTTTTTCATGATAGATAGATAGATAGATAGATAGATAGATAGATAGATAGATAGATAGACAGACAGACAGACAGACAGACAGACAGACAGACAGACAGACAGACAGACAGACAGACAGATTTCATATTTCTATTTATCAGTTTCTAAAATCATGAATCTATTGATTATTTTTTCTTTATTTTTACTCACCAGTTTGCTGCAATCAACCGCAAAGGCAAAGTAATTGTTAATGGGATGTCTGCTCAGCTGCCTATCTCAGTAGGTATGTACTGTAGTTCATTAGAAATGTCTGATTGTGCAGAAGGAAAAGTTGTAAATCTTAAATGTACTCAGCATATAAAATTTGGTTTGATATCTGATTGACAGCTAAGTTGACAATCTAGAAAAGGAATTCCTTTTGGAAAGTAAAGCTCACTATCCCTGCTTCAATCTTAGTTTCTGAAAATATACATCTTTTAAAAGACTTTAGAAACCTCGGCTGTACAGATTAGTACAATCAATTGATTAAGGGACCTGCCTCAATAAGCATTTTTTTAACTTTATTTCATCGGATTCCCAGTTTGATTCCAATTATAGTTCAAATTCTTGATAATATTTTGCCGAGCTTTTGATGGTGTGTTATTTGTCAGGTTGATGAATATCTGCTGAAGAATTCACATTATTTTTTGTTAGTATCACTACAAATTCCTCAAAGATTGGTTAAGCAACAGTATAGGCAATCTGACCTACATCTTTAACAATTTCAGTCCACCAATAAACTAGTGAAAAAATTGTGTTGTTTTTTTTTAACCACCCTACCAGATAAATACAGTGGTAACTCCTGTGCAGCCTTTATCCATTTGAGTGGCTTGGGAACTGGGGTGAAATCCTTCTACTTTAAGTAGACCTCATGTTACACTGGTGAATAGAGTCACTGTGGGCGGCCATATAAATTTGCTTATTAAATAAATAAAATAGATAATAAATAAAACTGATTAAAATCATAAAGTGGGTAAGAAAAAGTTAATAATTTAAAAAAAGTTGTTGCTGACCAGCTTTTGCCTGATGACTTGTAGAATGTGAGTCAAAAGTAACAGCCACTATTCTACTATAGCTTTATTATAGCAGTAACTGCAGCAGAGAACCAAACTTTAGAAAGCTGAGGAAAGGAAGTTTTGTTTTAGACTGGCTGCTGTGCCTGCATATATATGTGAATTTTGATGCTTTAACTTTGTAAATTGCATTAAGGTTTTCAAAAAGTCTATATGCCCTATATGTCCTGCCCATGGGGAGGTGGGGTGAAGGAAAGAAACAGGCTAGTTAGACAGTAGAATGCTTTATTAACTGTGGGTCCAAATAGAATAGCTAGTCGTTACCATAGCCAAAGCTGAAAAAAGAACTGATAACCAGAAAATGTATTTTTAATGCTGCTTCATTTCTGGCCAGTTTATAGGTGGGAGACAAAGAGCTGAAAGCAACCATGTAAAACAACATGCTAGACTCTTAACTAATTCAGTGAAATACACTGTGCACACCATATCATTGGAATGACAATTGAACACATGATAAAAATAATTGTACTGGCTTTTTTTAAATCAAGCCCTGAACCATATTCCCAATTCACTAATATGGTGATAGCAACTGACTACCCAAACTTTAGCTCCTCTTCTCCTGAAGAACTGCAAATGTTGATTTATTCAGAATGGCATTTATTCTTTCCCCGTAGCTAATTTAACGATCTTCCAGCCTTCAATGTCCTTCATCGTTCTGGAAACAAATTTTGGGCTTCAGATAGTGATCCAGATTATTCCCTTGCTACAGACAAACATTTATCTGGATCCATCTTTCCAAGGGAGAATGTGTGGTAAGGAATATTTCAAAATTATATGCCTTTCCTAGGTTCAAAGAGTTATTTTGCCATCTTTCAAATTATAAATTTCTTTTAAAGGTCTCTGTGGCAACTTTAACCATAACCAGAGAGATGACTTCAAAACCCTAAATGGATTGATAGAAGGAACAGCAATTGCATTTGCTAATACCTGGAAAACTCAAGCTGCCTGTGACAACATTAAACAGCATTTTAATGACCCTTGCACCCAGAGCATTGAAAATGGTGGGCAGAATTACTCCAAAATAGCCATTCTTTAAAACAGTCCATCTCAATTTCTTCTACATAGTTATTAAGGGAAAACTCATTAGAAATCTTACAAGGGAGGCGGGAGGACTAAAAGCAATGCATTAATAGTGAGAGTGAAAAATCAGAAAATGTGCAGATTAAGATCTTGTGAGCAGAGTTTGAGAAAGAATTAGTTGTATGAGATAAATGGACTCAAGCTTATATTACTCTTTTTCAGATGTAAGTATGGTTGTCTGTATTGTCAGGCTATTAATGTGAACATTGAAACTAGACATATAATCTGTGATGAAACTTGCCATGTATCTCTGTAGAAGTGACCCAAATATGGATGTATTGCTTCTCTTTTTAGAAAAATATGCCCGTCATTGGTGTGGACTCCTGACTGATCCTGAAGGACCTTTTGCTAAATGCCACCTCATAGTGAATCCAAAGGCTTATCATACGGTACTATGATCACCCATTTTAATTAAGAACATTGACAAGGAAAGACATTAACAATGGTGGGAAGTAAGGATTAGATGCAATCATCCTTTGGGGAGGAGTGAGCAGATGTTATTTGCAGCCAGATTTCAATAGGCGGATATTGCAGAAAGTTCTGTAAACATTTTTTCCCTCCAGTGGATCTTTCTAAAGAAAAACAGACTGAATTTCACCCACAGAGCTGGATTTTCAATATCATGTGTTACATTGCCAAAATGATGTGAAAGCACATTCAGTCATTCTACTAACCAAGCCTGACATATCCAGATCAATGGGTGGAATATACCTCAGGAGTTTGACAGACTAAAAGGACTGCTGCTGAAATCTGATTGGATATAAAATTTCAATTTGGTGGCAGGATAGCAATAGCACTTAGACTTATATACCACTCCATAGTGCTTTACAGCACTCTCTGAGAGGTTTACAGAGTCAACATGTTGTCCCCCAGTAATCTGGATCCTCATTTTACTGACTTTGGAAGGATGGACGGCTGAGTCAACCTCGTAACAAGAAATGACTTGGATTAATTTGATTAAAAATTAATTGATTATTTGATTAAAAATATGCTTCCCTTTTCTAGAACTGTATGTTTGATGCCTGCGCTTGTGAGATAAGTGAGAATTGCATGTGTGCTGCCCTCTCTTCTTATGTCAGAGCATGCAGAACCAAAGGAATTGAACTTGCAGGATGGAGAACCAGTGCTTGCTGTAAGTAATCTGATAAAACAATTCATCAAGGAATTGTAGACTATGATTAAAAAATATTTAGTGGTGCTGCAAAGGAATGGACTTTTGAATGTAATTTTAATGCTAATCTCCAGCTCTTTTGCTGGCATTTTAGGAAATGATGAATTTCTGATGGACCTTTATATCTTCCTTACATCCATCCCAGATCGTTTGGGATGTGATCCATACAAAGATGATTTTTAAAAGCATCTAGAAATTACTATTAATTTGCAGCAGCCAAACTACAAGGCTACATCCTTGGAAAACATACATAAGATGATTTTCTATTTTCACTGGTTGTCTGTTTGTTGCTGAGCTTTAAAGTCCTCTCCCTCTGAATTAATTTATTTGGAACCTGGATATATGAAGAATTATGTATGTATTTGGAGTAGTAGACAAAACTGTGCTTGATAGACTTTTTAAAAAGGGATTTTTTATATTGTGGCACTAAACTATGAAAAGTTTTCTGATAATTGGTGCTCTGAGATCTATTTGCCATTAGGTATACAATCGGCTCTTTAACAATACATGCAATACATATACCAGCTCTACTTGGAACATACACAAGTGTAATTCTCATAAGGGAGGTTTATATACCTGTTTCCGCCTTAATGGATAACACATTGATTAAGGACAAGAACAAAAACCTTCTCTATGGTGTAGATTAAAAAAAAATATAGGAATAGTCAAGAGCAGGGGGAAATTGTGTTGTAATCAAAGCGGGAAATTCTGGCTTTATCAGTTTCAGTGTCTTGGTCCTCAGTCAGATCTCCTGCTTAAATTCAGCCTAGCTATTTTCAAAGCTAAAATTGTGTATTGCTAGAAGAGAAAGACCACACCAGGACAAATCATCATTAATTTTCTTCTTAGAGAAGAGTTTGGCATTGTATGGTAAGAGGATTCAAGTTACAAACTCAGAATATACAGAATACTGTCAGTCTCGTGAATGCTTTCATTTGGTCCCAATTTTTTTCAACCCTCCCAACAAGGTAAGGTTGCTGCTTTCCTTTTAGATTACTAATTTCCAGATATTTTCAAGAAGGCTGCAGTGTTGTTGCACTTGGTTGTTTTTGTGTAGATGTTTTATTATCCAACTACATAACATCATCAGGGCTAGAAGGGAGTTAAGTTTGCAAATAACTATGGCTTAAAGATCTTTTTGGTGCATTTCATACAGTATACATTGTTTCAGGCTTTTCTCATAACTTTTCATTATTATCTATTTAAATCTGCAGTATGTAATATAATAATAATAATAATAATAATAATAATAATAATAGTAGTAGTAGTAATAATAATAATAATAATAATAATAATAATAAAGTTGGAAGGGACCTTGGAGGTCATCTAGTCCAACCTCCTGTTCAGGCAGGAAACCCTATACCATTTTGGACAAATGGCTGTCCAGTTTCTTCTTAAAAACTTCCAGTGTTGGAGCATTCACCGCTTCTGGAGGCAGGTTGTTCCACTGGTTAATTGTTCTAACTGTCAGGAAGTTTCTCCTTAGTTCTAGGTTGCTTCTCTCTTTGGTTAGTTTCCACCCGTTGCTTCTTGTCCTGCCTTCAGGTGCCTTGGAAAATAGCTTGACTCCCTCTTATTTATGCCTAGTCTTGAACTATAAATAAATAAATTCTAAACACTCAATGTTATTCTAAATGGGATGTGCTTAGTTCCTTTCTTCTGCTTTCAGCACAGATGTGGCTGTGTACTATATATGTTATTATTCACCTTCTCTGTGTTGTATTCTTGTTTTCTTCTTTTAGCTTTATCAGCTTTATCAGCAAATTTGGGAAACTTGGGATCAACAGGGAGTCAATATACCATATAAATAACGATTATTTCTTTTTCTTCCTTCAAGCCAAATACACTACTTCATGTCCCAGATCCCTGAATTATAGCTATGAAATTAGCTCATGTGAACCTACTTGCCGATCACTGAGTGAACCTGATATTACATGCCACATCAAATTTGTCCCAGTTGATGGCTGTACATGTGAACATGGAACTTACATGGATGATTCTGGAATATGTGTGCCCGCTAACAAATGCCCCTGTTATTACAAAGGAATAGCCATGCTTCCTGGTGAAGTTTACCATGAGTTTGGTGTTGCATGGTAAGAAGATACAAGTTACAAACTAAGTTGGGCTATCAGAATAATATAAAATAGTGTCAGTCTAGAATGTTTTCATTTGGTCCCAAGTATTTTTGCTATAAAGGTACAATGGCACTGCTTAAAAGCATAAAGTGCAGAGTGTGGAAGAACTAAGATTTATTATACGTACAAGTCTATTTGTGAATGCTAAATACTTAATGTTATACCCAGATTATGTTAGATACTCTGCCTTTGAAGTGTTTTTTAGAGTAAAATAATAATTTGCAGCTTCTCAACTCAAAAAAGAAGTTTTTTGAATTCCCAGATAATCTGGACACAATAATCATTCCCGTTTCTTTTACTCAGTACTTGTAATCAAGGAAAATTAAACTGCTACGGTGATGGAGACTCCGAACAAGGTAAGGAGTCCATTATCCTCATGGACATTTCTTGGTACATCTCCCCAGTTAAATTGAACCAGCTTAGTTAAAATAGCAGTATGTAACAAAGATAATCCAGAAACAAACCAGCAATTTAATATTGTCTATGGTCCTGAGCATGATAACTGGAAGTAAGTTCCATTGCACAAAATGGACCTTACGCCTAGGTAAATAAACACAGGTTAAACTGCAAATTAATATTTTAGTGAGAACCATTTATCTTGTAGATGGATTGACAAAAAATGTAATTATTACCTGGACCTAATTTGTGTCTAATGCCTAAACTATATTAGCCATTTCCACATATTTAAAAATTATTTAAACAGTAAGAAAATAGAAAAAAAATATTTTTTTCATCAAAAAAGTTGGGTATGGAAAAAATATAATGTTTGAGAGATGAGAAGATGTATAATTCAGAGGCTGATAGTATCCTTTTTAGAAATATTTCTTGGCTGTAAATTGCATACAAAATTAAATGATGGTTTTCTTGCACATTTTTGGAAACATTAGAGGCAGAATAGATTCATTTTGGGATATATTTTGATAATGACCTGAACTGGACTCTTTTCTTTCTTTCTTTCTTTCTTTCTTTCTTTCTTTCTTTCTTTCTTTCTTTCTTTCTTTCTTTCTTTCTTTCTTTCTTTCTTTCTTTCCTTTCTTCCTTCCTTCCTTCCTTCCTTCCTTCCTTTCTTCCTTCCTTCCTCAATAACTCATTTAAAGGCTCAATAACAACTGAAAGTTGGTAAGACTTTATTCATGCAAATGAATAAAGTTAGTTCCAAAGACCTTGCACATCTTTTGCCCAATTCTTTTGACCCATGATATCTATATCTATCTTTTCGTGTAATATACCAACTTTTTCTCTCTTCTGGATAGATTGCAGTGCTCCAATGGTTTACTTTAACTGCAGAAATGCCACCACTGACAGCAAAGGGGCTGGATGTCAGAAGAGCTGTCAGACTCTTGATACACATTGTGTAAGTATTCAGGTCCTATCTGAGGGAATGTATTACAAATCAGAAAACAATCCCATATACCTTGAAGGCATGAACTAATCTTAGACAAGCCACTCTTCTCCAGTCTCACCTTGCCCAGTTCCTTCTGGATCCTATTATTCCATCTTCTTCAGTGTCTTGGAACCAGTGGTGAGATTCAAATATCTGAACAACCGGTTCTCTGTGTGGATGCCACTTCCAGAAGTCCATTCTGGGCCTGGACAACAAAAAAATAGCTACCGGTTATGCAGGTACTGGTATGAACTGGTGTGAACTGGCTGAATCCCACCACTGCTTGGAACACAGAGCTCATTCATTCAGAAACCTACTATCATCCCCTCAAATACATATATACAGATAGAAGAACTTCTGGGTATGGACTGGAGTTATTAATTCAGGGGGTCATTCCCTATTGACAATTCTAGCTGAATTGACACCACTATTGTGTTTAAATTGAGCCACCCTTATTTAACCCTGACTGGAAAAGCAAATTATTTGACTGCTTATTTGCTCTTTCCTGAGTCATATTTTCTTCTTGATGCTTACAGTACAGCCCACAGTGTGTTTCTGGTTGCGTATGTCCACACGGACTAGTATCAGACGGGAAAGGCAGCTGTATTCCTGTAGAAGAATGCCCATGTATTCACAATGATGCTACATATCAGCCTGGAGAAAAGATCAAAGTTGATTGTAACACTTGGTAAGCATTTGCTAGTGAACAGAGTGCTTCTTGTTAGATATATATTCCTAAAGTAAAATGCCCATATTGTCCTTGGGGGGAAAACCCCAACAACAACATGCCAGATTGAAAGCAAACTGGCAAGAGTCGTGGTACATACTTCACCTAAGTACCTAATCTTATATAAATAAAAATGTAAATGTTCGTTTGTTCAAAATCTTAAATCTCTGAAAGTTCTTCACCGATTGCTTTGAAATTTTGACACAACGTTGCATTTGAATACGCGCGTGTTTTTATATACCTATATTATATAGATGTCACACCTGTGACAGGTAAAAACATGCTTTTTTGAAAAACAGCGCCATCTGTTGGATGTAAAAGCAACACACGCTTTTACCAGACTGAGCCACAGCAACGTGTGGCTGGGTACAGCTAGTACTAAAATATAAATGTGTCATGAGCCAATTTATGTATGTATTTATTAGTTCTAAATGTATTTTCTATTTTCAAATCATTTTCTTTCTTGATTATTTTGCATAACAATCACATCAGATAAGTACAAATTCAGTGACAAAGAAAGAACCACATCTCCCACAAAAGATAAATCTGCATCTGCCATTTGGTTAGATTGGCCTATCCTGCTTGCTTTCCAAAGACATGGCTGTGTCAATATGCCAGGGATCCAGCTATGACTTGGAGCCCACTAGCTGTCTATACTGATTGATCCATGACTTGCAGAATAACAGTGTTGGAAGGGACTTTGGAGGTCTTCTAGTCCAACCTCCTATACTGTTTTTTTTCTGTTTTCTGTTTTAGTTTTGTTTGATTTTTAATGAGATTTTTAATTTGATTTTAAAGGGGATTACTCAAATCAGGTTTTAAACTTTTTTTAAAAATCCTTGTATTTGTTATTGGTTACAGCTTTTTGTTGTTTGTAATCTAGTTGTAAGGGCCAGGAAAAATGGAGCTACGATTAATCATAGCTGGAGTTGCCAAATAATTATGATGTTAAACTTAGTTAGGGGATACCTAGATACAAATCCACATTCAGCCATGGAAGCTCACAGGGCCACTTTGCTGCAGGCATTCCATTTCAATCTAGCTTGTTTCACAAGGTTATTGTGCTCTGTATACTGCTTTGAAAAGGCAGGCTAGGGAAGGAAGGAAGGAAGGAAGGAAGGAAGGAAGGAAGGAAGGAAGGAAGGAAGGAAGGAAGGAAGGAGGGAGGGAGGGAGGGAGGGAGGGAGGGAGGGAGGGAGGAATTCAATACTTCCCATTTGCACCAGCCCTCATTGAAAAGTACATGGAAATATGCCTTTGGATGTGAAAATATTTTTAATGGATATATATCTTATCTTCTTTATAAGCATATGTACAAAGCAGTTTTCTTGGAAAAATACCATTCTTGGTATGCCACTTCTTGGCAGGTCTCCAGGCTTCCCAACTATTGAGACAAGAGTTGAAATAGATTTCAGGAGGATACTGAGTTAGAGAAGAATGAGTGTAACTTCATAATCAGTCACTCAGTCACCTTTATTATGGAACACAGACCTTTGTAACAGAATGGGACAATTCCCTGTGGCCACCTCGCCATGGCTATCTCACCACAGGACAATTCACTGCAGGAAAATTTAACAAATACAAAAGTTAAATTAATTTCAACAGAACCATGGCTGATAATAATAAAATAAAGTCAATCCGGAAATATAAGAGTTACAATAATTTCAACAAAAACGTGGTCAGCAATAATAAAAGTGACTGAATGAAATTAGTAATGCAGCCTTGAATTGTCCCAAGGTGAGTTGTTCTGCAACAAGTTGGCCGTGATGAGTTGTCCTAGACCCCCTTCATAAATAACAAGGAAAACTTATTCAAAACAAATCTGAAAATGTACTTCCATTCTTTTTCTATGGTACAGAATAGCAACTTTCAATTATAATTCAATTTTCTTTAAAAAATACTTGACATTAAAATGCAATACTTTGCATTTTACTTTTATAGTTTCTTAATTTCTTTCATGAAATTATGCCATTTATAGTACTGTTTCAATTTCTTTTCTTTCCTACCCCATATCCTTGCCTCTTCCCACTTAGTCTATGATTAGTTCGTGAGATAATTATTTAGCTGAACTCTACACAACTAAAACATATTGTAATATATGAACACTCTACATAAAATTGATTTTATGGGTGCAAACAGGATAATTATTCTTGAAATACTTTTCCCCTTTTCTTATTTTAGTATATGTCAGAACAGGATGTGGAAATGTACCATGGAGACATGCCTATCAACCTGTGCTATTTATGGAGATGGACATTATATCACCTTTGATGACAAGCGTTATATTTTCAATGGGCAATGTGAATATACACTCTTGCAGGTATCAAGTATGGCTTTCTTGTTTTCGCTGGAGAAACTGTCTGGATCTAACACAGAAGGCAATATTTTTTTTTCTAATTCTATCCCCTTCCTTCTTAGGATTATTGTGGCCAGAACAGTTCCACCCAAGGGTCATTCCGAATCATCAGTGAAAATATTCCTTGTGGCACCACTGGCACCACTTGTTCTAAATCTATTAAAGTGTTCTTCCAAGTGAGTAACATTGCTGCAGCATGGATGGTTCTACCATTAACTCCCTGGTCTCCCCAAAAAAATCTTCCAAAATAACTTTTTTAAAAAAAATTAAAGAGGGAGGCATAGTCTATTCCTTCATGCAACTACTTTGGTTGAGCACATGGAGTACTACATTTGGGATATTGATATGGTCATTCCCTCTGTTTCATGCCAAATTGTATTGGAAATGTAGGCAAATAAAGAGAGAAGTGTAAACTGGTTTAATTCTTGTGCAAAATTAAAAACAATATGTTAAATATCCTACTGAATATGTACAATACGTAGCATTTTCTAGGAATGCCCTTTGCTTTCCAACAGTTTTAAAGACACTGAAGATATAGTTAGAAAACTAGTTAGTGCAAATAGGAATTCATTTAAGGCACTAGATTAATAGATAGAAGGAATCGCCTTCAGGAACCAGAGGAAGAGCTGCTACAAGACAATGCTCAGATAAAAGAAACCTGTGTCCTGGATAGGACCATAACTTGAGAAAGTGACTCATACAAGACCCTCCTTGTTTTCATGAACTTGAAGGGTGGGGAAAAGTGGATTCAGACTTACACTATTTTGTTTCTGCAACCTTATAATAAAAATAGGTTTAGCCTGCATGAGTTGGCTTTCCTAGTCTGGTCTAGCTCAAACAACTGACACTACTATGCAGTATACACTATTGCTGTACCTATCCCCACAGAAACAATTTCCGAAAATCCCATGCTGTTCATCCCTATTCTATATATTGTTTGTATTAACTGGACGATGAGTCATGCAGATGATATTTATTTAAGGAAATATTCAGCTTTTGTCTACCATGTTGGCTAATAAAATTACTGTTGTACATATTTTTTGATAAATAAATCAAACGGTGGTTTTGGAAAACTGTCATTGTTCCCTATTATTTGCTCAACTCTTCCAGAACTATGAACTGATACTTACCGAAGAGCAGTATAAAGTGGTAAAAAGAGAGAGTGGAGGTCACATACCATATAGAATTCACCAAATGGGCATCTACCTGATGATTGAGATTCAGAAAGGACTAATTGTCTTATGGGACAAGAGAACAAGCCTATTTATCAAACTCAGTGCAGAATTCAAGGTGAGGTCCTATTAGAAATGAACTTTAGAGCTGGTGGTATGTGAATTAATTAAACAGAAAAATCAAGCATTAAGTGGGCTGCACATTCTCTAGAATTCAATTAATTTGTATGCTTCTCTCTTCAGGGTGAGGTCTGTGGATTGTGTGGGAACTATGATGGAAATGGAGTTAATGACTTTACAACTCGGAGTCGATCTGTAGTAGGTGATGTATTGGAGTTTGGAAACAGTTGGAAGGTATCACCCACATGTCCCGATGCCAAATGTGTCAAGGATCCTTGCTCCAAGAATCCTTATAGGAAAGCTTGGTCACAGAAGAAGTGCAGCATCATCAACAGCGAAGTCTTTGCCGCCTGCCACTCTCAGGTACACCAAACCCTCAGGGCAGATTTTTCACAGGAAAAATCATTATTTCAGGTGACAATCATGCCTGCCTGCCTGTCTATCTGCCTGCTTGCCTGCCTATCTACCTACCTACCTACCTACCTACTTACGTACTGGTTAGCCCAAATTACAATCTTTCATTTAATGATAGTTTGAAGTTATGATGGCCTCAGAAAAAATTACTTACTTGTTCTGAAAGCTACAACTTGTTGCACCATCCCAGACATCAAGTTATCACAATTTGGGCATTTGGCAAGTAGTTCACTTTTATGATGGTTGCAAAATTTTGCGGTCATCTTCCCAACCAGCTTCCATGATGCAAAGTCAATTGGGGAAGCCAGATTCACTTAATGACCACGATTCATTTAACAGCCACATCATTTGCTTAAAAAAACTGGAAAAAATGATAATAAAATTGGGTTGGATCACATGATGACTCAGTTAATGACCACATCACTTAGCAAGCGAATTTTAGTCACCTTTAGTCAATGTTTTGCACAAACTTTTGAAAGAATTGTCACTAGGAGATCAAAAGATGAAGCGTCTGTTTCATTTCTTCCTAGGTGGAACCAACTAAATACTATGAAGCCTGTGTGACCGATGCCTGTGCTTGTGATACTGGGGGAGACTGTGAATGTTTCTGTACAGCTGTAGCTGCATATGCTAAAGTATGTAGTGATCATGGAGTATGTGTTTCATGGAGGACGCCATCAATTTGCCGTGAGTATCATATATGATTGCATGGACAATGACAATCCAAAGCTGGAAAGTGAAGTATCAACTTGAAGACTATGTCATCCCTTTAGTGTATGACGATGTTCTCATACCATGCCATATCAAAAATGCAATGAAGGAAACATCTAGATATTTGTGCTCTTATTAATATTTATTAAATCAACAACTGGCAAACCTCATGCTGGCTCAGGAATTCTGGGAGTTGAAGTCCACAAGTCGTAAAAGGGCCATCATTCCCCACCTCTGTGCTAGATAGACAATTATTTCAAGGGCTTGAATCAAGTTAGTGCACCATCTCATCTCATGCCTGATTGGTTATCTTCCAATCATTAAAATGCAAACATTAAAATCTGATTATTTTTATAATGACATAATTGGTAGCATTTATTCAGGATTGATATATTTGATTCTTAATGGTTGTCATTTGGATCCCTTAGCCATGTTTTGTGACTACTACAACAATGAAGGTGAATGTGAATGGCACTACAAACCTTGTGGAGCCCCATGTATGAAGACCTGTAGGAATCCAAGTGGGAGGTGTGCTTATCATTTACCTGGCTTGGAAGGTGAGAAGGTCTTTCTTATCATATGTATGCCAGCTAGTGCTATATAATATGCTATTTAATAGCTGGCTAATACCTTATATGAGCATAATGATTATTTATAGCATAGTAGGTCAAAGTTATCATTTATGAAGAATGTCACCTTGTTTAATGTCTATTACATTTCTGTCTTTGGCTTCAAATAATTTGTAGTTTATCTTTCTGAGACCCTCCCAAGGCATGGAGCTAAAAATCAACCATCAGATTTAATGATTCATCTACTTTAATATTTGTGAGTTTGAACTGGATGGGTGTACAGAGCTGAATAGAGTGTTCGCCTTTTCTTTCTGCATCTTTTATTTCAATATCAATTTTCTTCTACCCCAAGTTGCAGATTGAGAGGACTGATAAAAAGGCAAGACACTGCTATTTCATCCATCTTTTTAATTCTCAATACTGATCAGGAATATTGGGGAAAATTGAAAAGGAAAATTTCGGAAGGGGAATTGGCAAAAAAAAAAAAAAAAAGCAAAAGGGAGCCTCCATATATCATTTGGAAGAATTTGATCATTAAACTAATCAAAGCTATAAAATACATATACCAGAGAAATCAATGAGGGGGAGGACAAATTCTAAATTGGAACTGTTGTGGAGAGCCAAACCAATAGGGCTATGAAGGTGCATGCACATGCACGCACAAACACGTAAATTGGGAAAAAAAACAATAGCAATAGTCTTCAAAGTAAAAGCAATGCAGTTATATTGCATGCATGGCATACACTTATTTACATTTGATTTCTAATTTCCAATTGACCTCATGCAGGCCAAACGGAGACAGCTAAAAGGCCAGATGTGGACCAGGGACTATAAAATGCCCAGGTCTATATTAAGCAATATTATTACCTTTTACAACAGTCTAGCATATTAAAAGGCTAGTTTGTGGAATCTTGGTTTTGGAATTGATCCAAAGCAGCTTAAATGCTGCTGATTGTAAATCATTAGCTTTGTCTGAATTCAATATCATCCAAGTAATTGTGGGGGTTTTTTTCCCTTATCCTTTTCCTCCTCTTAGGCTGCTATCCACATTGCCCAGGAGATAAGCCTTATTTCAGCGAGGATGAGATGAAATGTGTTAGCATTTGTGGTTGTTATGATAATAAGGGTAACTATCATCGGTTAGGAAAAAACTTTACTACTGGAGAGATGTGTCAGTCATGGTGAGTAATAATACAAGCCTTGGTACAATAGGTATATTCAGAATACATGTTGCAGTGACTCCAAAATAACCCTGTTCATTTTCATACACTTACAATAATGTATTAATTCCTTGTATGATTGATTGACTATGTGCTATCGAGGCATTGTTGATCCTTAGTGACCACACAGATAGATTTTTTTCAATGATAATCCATCCCTAACCTGGGCTTTCAAGTCTTCCAGTGCTGTACCCATTGCTATTGTAACTGAATCCATCCAACTTGCTGGTGGTTATTCTCTTTTTAGAGGAATCTAATTGGTAGAAACAAAAGTTTCCGTTTAATTTTAGACACACAATAAAGCAAGATATGTGAGTGTGTTATTATATATAATAATACTGTATATGTATAATAATGTTATATATGTTATTATATATATATATATATAAGAATTAGTGTTCTAATTCAACATTAGAGGGGCAAATAAGATCCTACTTATTTTATTCTACCATGTATAAGTTAGAATAAAGAAGCTCAGAAACAAGGAGCTTGAAACTTTCAACCTAAATCTAAATTACTAAATGGAGTATCATCAAAATAGTCAAGATGGCAACCACAATGGTGCAGGTGAAGCTCTGCCCATTTTGTATATGCAACATACCTTAAAACAGTGGTTCTCAACCTTTTTAATGCCGCGACCCCAACCGGTCGTAAGTCGAGGACTAAACCGGTCGTAAGTCGAGGACTACCCAACCGGTCGTAAGTCGAGGACTTTCCCTGCCCGGGAACGCCGCGCATGCGTGGTTCTGCCCCCTGCGCCGGCCGAGGCGTAGCTGGCAAGCGGCAGAGACGGAGCAGGCCGACCACCAACTGGCCCAGCCCAAGGGAGGTAAGGCACCCGCCAGAAAAGGGGAAAAAATGGCGGACAGCCTTGCTTGAAGACCCCCGTGAAATGGTCGATCGACCCCAAATAGGGTCGCAACCCATAGGTTGAGAACCGCTGCCTTAAAAAGACAAGATGGCAGCCACGGTAGTGTGTTGAAAGTTTCACCACATTAACATCCTAGTGATTGATGCCTGTTCTTTAAGCTAATAGCTGCATAAAAGGTAAAGGTTTCCCTGACCATTCATGTCTGACTTTAAGGCATAGTGCTCACCTCTGTTTCTTGGCCAAGAGAGCCAGCATTGTCCAAAGACATTTTCTGTGGTCATGTGGCCAGCATGGGTATACGCCAAAGACTCACAGAAAGTGGTTACCTTCCCACTGAAGTGGTACCTATTAACCTACTTGCATTTGCATACTTTCAAACTGCTAAGGTGGGCAGGAGCTGGGAGAAGTAATGGGAGCTCACCCCTTTGCATAGCACTCGGATCTCAAACCTGGGCACATTTTAGAGAACCCAAATGCTAAAATTATTATTATACCCTTTCTTTCAGTTGCTAGAGAACTGTATTTCAGCATAACATTTTCTATGATATTCATTGTAAATCAGAGGTATTTAAAAGAATGTTCCTATTTGAGACACCTGCAAACAAAGCTATTCAGTGGAATTTAGTAGGAAATAAATTGTAACACGTCTTTAATGAATCCTATGTCATTGTTGTTTCTTACAGTAAATGTACCAGCGAAGGCATTATTAGCTGTGAATATGATACTAAAGGTAACTTGAAAAGATTTATTAATAGTACTACAAAATAGTTTGATACGACTTTGTCTAACCACGCATTCTTATTTTCTAAATGCAGCTTGCTACTGCTACTACGAAGGAAAGAGGTATAACTACAAGGAAGTCATTTACAACACCACGGATGGCTTGGGTTCGTGTATCACTGCAATTTGTGACGTCAATGGAACAATCAATAGAGAAGTCTACAAATGTGCTGGAATTACCACAAAACCACCATTTGAATTCACAACATCAAGTGGAACAGGTATTTCACTCCATAGTCTGGATTTAACACCAGTTAAATGCTCCAATATAATAGTAGTAGTAGTAGCAGTAGTAGTAGTAGTAGTAGTAGTAGTAGTAATAATAATAATAATAATAATAATAATAATAATAATAATAATAATAATAATAATAATAATAATAATAATAATAATAATAATAAAGTTGGAAGGGACTTTGGAGATCATCTAGTCCAACCCTCTGCTCAGGCAGGAAACCCTATACCATTTCAGACAAATGGCTGTCCAGTCTCTTCTTAAAAACTTCCAGTGTTGGAGCATTCACCGCTTCTGGAGGCAGGTTGTTCCACTGGTTAATTGTTCTAACTGTCAGGAAGTTCCTCCTTAGTTCTAGGTTGCTTCTCTCCTTGATTAGTTTCCATCCGTTGCTTCTTGTCCTGCCTTCAGGCGCTTTGGAAAATAGCTTGACTCCCTCTTCTTTGTGGCAGCCCTTGAGGTATTGGAACACTGCTATCATGTCCCCCTCGTCCTTCTCTTCATTAAATCGTTACTTGCCCAATACATCTAGAGGACATGAGAAACTGGCAAAGACTATAAATGAATTGAAATGGGAATCAGCCCCACTAGATCTACATGAATAACTTCAAAGAGAATACAAGTATTAGTTATTTGCAAAACCCTAAAGGCCCCAAATAAACTACACTGCAAGTATCTTGAGAGATGGAGGAACCTTCTTCCTCCAATGATGGAATACTGAATTTTGCAGAAATTAATCAACATCTTTCTGTATAGTATGTTCCGACCTCTGGAAACAGAAAGTATCAGGCTGAATGTAAAAGAGAACAGAAATTTGCAGAGAAAACCAAAGCCTGTTGAGATTATACCCTTCCATGCAGAGGGAGGAAGAGATGAATAGTGCTTATATCCTGAATAACACAGGTCCCATCCGTGAAGTAAAAGAAATCATGGTACTGATCTCATAGTCTGCAGCAGGTAGCCTTCCTGCTATAGGTCATTTATTATGTACCTGCAAACAAACAACTATTGGTTAATGTCACAATGTGACATTATAGATAGGCTGGGTCAATTCTCACCAGAGACATATTAAATTTGATATTTTGAATGTATTGACTGAAAAAGATTTTCAAATCTTAACAAAATTGATATATTAATTTCTTTCCATTTATTTATAAGGAAATCAATTTTTTTAAAAAATAAAAGATGTAAAAAAATAGCACCAGCTATTTAAAAAAAAGGGAGAAAAGCTAATGATGGAGCAATCCAACAATTGTATACACAGTTCATTCAGTCTGCTATCTGAATCAGGACAGGACAAGAATAAATGACAAGAGGAATTTGCATAATAAATTTGCCATTAGTCAATTGCAAAAGGCGGCCTTACTAGGAACTGCTTCCATCCTGCGATGATATCTGTAATACCATCAAAGTTCCACATGTGCCTATCCCGGGTCCTTGGGAAGGACTCGATAGGTAGACAGAAATGCCAAATCCAGTCTGAACATCTGGCTGACTGTGCGATGATCAATAATAATAATAATAATAATAATAATAATAATAATAATAATAATAATAATAATAATAATAATAATAGTAGTAGTAGTAGTAGTAGTAGTAGTAATAGTAATAATAATAGTAATAATAAAAGTTAAAAGTACAATAGATATTTCCCAAAGCAAAGGAAAATATGACTATGAGAACTACAGCACAAGAGTTGCTTGGCTTTGTTACATGACTTTGTTACATTTATATAAAATAAAAAAGATATACAGGTAGTCCTAAACATACGACTTATGAATGTATGCTGCTAAGTGAGAAATTTGATAAGTGAGTTTTGCCTCATTTTAGAATTTTTATCGCCACATTTGTTAAGTGAATCACTGCAGTTCTTAAATGAGTAACATGATTGTTAAGTGATTCTGGTTTCCTCACTGACTTTGCTTGTCAAAAGTTTGCAAAAGGGGACCACATGACTATGGGATACTGCTACTGTCATAAATGTGAGTCAGTTGTCAAGCATTCAAATGTAAATCATGTGACCATGGGGATGCTGCAGCAAACATAAGTGTGAAAAATGGTCACAAGTCTCTTTTTTCAGTACCATCGTACTGAAAACAGTCACCAAATGAACTGTTGTAAGTCGAGGACTACCTGTACATAAACATATTTTTTTATTTTCTTTCCTTAAAGTTACAAGCATCACAAAGAGTACTGCTTTTTTTTAAAAAAAAGTATCTACATTTAGATAATAAATTGTACAATAGGCAAAAGATGTCTGCTCCTCAAAAGCAGGGGTTTTTGATAAACATTGAAACAATTATGTTTTATGTTACAGAATCAACTCCAACAAGAACAACAATGTGTGTGCATAAAGTTTGTAGATGGATGGGTTGGTATGATCTTAGCTATCCATCACATGAAATTACCAATGGAGAGTATGAAACACCAGAAATCATAAGAGCCAAAGGACATAATCTTTGCAAACTTCCAGATAAAGTGGAATGCAGAGCAAAAGAACTTCCCGATGAAACATTGCATTCTCTCAATCAAAATGTAATATGCACACCAACTGATGGTTTGATCTGCAATAACAAGGATCAGACTCCACCAATGTGCTACAATTTTGAGGTCAGATTCTCCTGCTGCAATTTTGAACCATGTGGTCCATTGACATCAACATCTGCTACTAAGACTACTGCAGAAACAACACCAGTTACTGAAACAAAAACATCACCCCCTTACATACCTCAATCTAGCACTCCACTTGTTATTGGGACCACTCGTCCTACTTCCCAGCCTTCTACACCAAGTTCAATTCAGCCCACATCCACATCTTGTCATCCTAAATGCCAATGGACGCAATGGTTTGATGACCACAATCCAAACACTAGCCCTGATGGTGATTTTGAGCGCTTTGAAGACATACGAGCACGTGGACTAGTTTGTGAGCATCCCAAAGACATTAAATGCCAGGCAAAGGACTATGCACACACTAGGAATCCTGCCCCGGCGCAGAATTTCCAGTGCAATCTAGAGGTTGGACTAGTGTGCGAACATGAAAAACAGAAACAGAAACCATATAAATGTGTCAACTACCAGGTGCAATTCCTGTGTTGTGATTATAGCCATTGCCAAACAGTCACAACAGCAGTAACTGCCAAACCTACATCAGCCAAAATTCTACACTCTTCCACAACATCCAGTGCATCCACCCTACCACACACAATATTGACCACCAGTTCAAGCACAACCCCGGTAAGCACAAGTAAAGCAGTAACAACAGGAAAGCAAACAACCACTACCATTTCTACTCCACTGTCAACACTTGTCTCCACCAGTGCAGAAGTAACAACAGGAAAACAAACAACCACAACCCTTCCTGCTCCACCATCAACACGACCAGTCACCTCTGGAATTATCTCCACTGCATCGACTACCAGTCCAAGTACACCCCTAGTATCCACAAGTACAGCAGTAACAACAGGAAAGCAAACAACCACAACCCTTCCTGCACCACCATCAACACGACCAGTCACCTCTGGAATTATCTCCACTGCATCGACTACCAGTCCAAGCACACCCCTAGTATCCACAAGTACAGCAGTAACAACAGAAAAGCAAACATCCACTACCACTTCTACTCCACTGTCAAAACTTGTCTCCACCAGTACTGAAGTAACAACAGGAAAACAAACAACCACTACCCTTACTACTCCACAATCAACACGACTAGTCACCTCTGGAATTATCTCCACTGCTCCGATCGCCATCCAAAGAACCACCTCGTTGTCCACAAATGCAGAAGTAACAACAAGAAAGCAGATAACCACAACTCTTTCTACTCCATTGTCAACTCTTGTGTCCACAACATCAATGCCTATTACTACTACCACCACTGCAGAGACAATGCCATCTACCCAAACAAAAACATCACCCCCTCAATCTAGCACTCCACTTGTTATTGTGACCACTCATCCTACTTCCCAGCCTTCTACACCAAGTTCACTTCAACC